CACTGTCTTACATTTGGGTTTTTAATATAGATAGCTACAGTATTATAATGAAAGAATGGGAAAATAATAAAAAAAAATAAGTCACAGAAGAATATAGCTAGAAAAGGAATCTTAGAGGTCATCTGATCAGTCAAACCAGCCAGCAAGCATTTATTAAATACCTCCTGTATGCCAGGTACTGCACCAGATACTCCCTCATTTCCTTTCCAGAATTCTCCATGGACCATTCCCAGCCATATACACAGATGCATAGTTTGCAGTCTTCCCCAAACATCCCTCACTATGCATCCTGGGATTGCTGTGCCTTGTGAAGCTGGTTACTTAGAGAAAGTGGGATATAGGAGGCATGACTAACTAAGAGCTGTTGGTACATGCAGACAACCTCATTGCCTCTGGGATGGCTTCGAAACAGCTCTTGTCCTGGGTTGGTGCTCTCCTGATTGATAAGAGTTCACCATATCTAGCTAGCCACCTGCCAGTATCCCAACCATCCTCTGGCTGGGATATATATGTATAGCCATGTGCCTGCCAGTATCCCAACCATCCTCTGGCTGGGATATATACATGTAGCCATGTGCCTGGAGCTCTTCTTCTGGGAAAAGAGATCAAAGCAACATTACCATTCCTAGAAAAGGCATGTCATTCAATTGTCTCATGTCTCCACTTACCGTCTTTATGACTTCTCAGATCAAAACACTCCTTCCTGGATTGCATGCCCCATATGGGTTATTTTCCTCCATTAGATTGTAAGCTTCTTGAAGGCAGGGACAGTATTTGTATTAGCAGTGCTTAGTGAATGATTCTTTTTTCTCGCTTTCTCCTTCCTATCTCCTCTCTTTCTCCCCTTTTTCTTTCTTTTTTCTATTCTTTCTTTCTCTCCTTCCCTCCCCCTTTATCTTTCTCTCCTTTCCTTTTTCCCTCCTTCATTTCTTTTCTTTCTCCTTCCTCCTTCCCTTCCTTCCATCAAAAAAAGACTAATTAAAGCACTAGATTGGTTTTCAGTTGACAAATGCTAGTTCTGTAGAGCTCTTGAACCATCTGCAGTTTGTAAACTTGATGAGGGCAGGGGTTGTCTCATCTAAACTTTATATCTCTCCCAACAGGTATAATGGTATATTGCATACCAAAGGTACTTAATAAATGTTGTTTTGTCCTATATTGTATAAACTTTTAAAACCTGTCTCTTCCTTCCATACTGCCCCTCCTAACTCACTCCTTTTTTCCTCTGAAGCCTCTGAGCTACTTGCCTGAGACTGAGGATGGTGTGACAACCTACAGAAGAAAATTTAGACATTTTACCTGTCTGCACATATAATATGGTCTGGGAAACAATGATATGATCCTGAAACTTTAGAATGTTTAAATGAAAAATTTTCTATTTAAAATGAAAACCTTAAACTTCAACAGTGAATGCTATTACTTTACAAGGCAGTGTCTACATTCAGTTTTCATTTGCTGAAAGGTACTGCGTTTGTATTACTTTTCTTTTTTTTTTTAGTTTTCAACATGTGCTTCCACAAGATTTTGAGTTCCAAATTTTCACCCCATCTCACCCCTCCCCCCACCCCAAGATGGCATGCCTTCTGAACACCCCTTCCCTTAGTCTGCCTTCCCTTCTATCTCTCCCCCCCTTCTCTTATCCCCTTCCCCTTCTATTTTCCTGTAGGGCAGGATAGATTTCTGTACCCCATTTCCTATATTTCTTATTTCCCAGTTGCATGTGAAAACATTTTTTTTAAACATGTGTTTTTAAAACTTTGGGTTCCAAATTTTCTCCCTCCCTCCCTCCCCACCCACCCTCATTGAAAAGGCAAGGAACTCAATATAGGTTATACATGTGCAGTTATGCAAAATACTTCCATAGTAGACATGCTGTAAAAAACTAACTCTATTTCCCTTAATCCTATCCTGCTCTCCCCCATTTATTCTATTCTTTCTTTTGACCCTGTCCCTCTTCAGAAGTACTTGCTTCTGACTACCCCCTTTCCCAATCTGCCCTCCTCCCTATCATCCCCCTACTCTCTTGTCCTCTCTCCCTTCTATTTTCCTGTAGGGTAAGACAGATTTCCATACCCAGTTGAGTGTGTATGTTATTCCCTCCTTAAGTCAAATCCTATGAGAATAAGATTCACTTATTCCCTCTCACCTTCCCCCATTTCCCCTCCATGGTAAGAACCTTTTCTTTTCTGGTTTTTTTTTTTTTGTGAGATAATTTACCCTGTTCTACCTCTCCCTTTCTCCTTTTCCTAGTATACTCCTCTTTCACCCCTTAATTTTATTCTCCAGATGTGACCCCTTCATCTTCAACTTACCCTGTGCCCTCTATCTATCTATCTATCTATCTATCTATCTATCTATCTATCTATCT